TCTGGGGGTGCTGAGGCACTGGCACAGGTTGCCCAGAGAAGCTGTGGCTGCCCCATCCCTGGCAGTGTTCAAGGCCAGGTTGGATGGGGCTTTGGGCAACCTGGTGTAGTGGAGGGTGTCCCTGCCCATGGCAGGGGGGTTGGAACTGGATGATCTTTGAGGTCCCTCCCAACCCAAACCGTTCTGGGATTCTGTAAGAGATCTCTCATGCCCTCTGAATGCACTGGGTACAATTTTAGCCAGTTATGAAGAGTAAGCTGCTCAAGTGCATTGAAAGACCAGTGCAGAACTAACTCTGGCTATAATTTCCACTAAAGAAAACTCACAGCAGTAAGAATTTACATCACTACTACTGAAAAAGCTTTAGAGTTTTGTTTGCAATTAAAGTATGAAGCAGATGAATTCAAGAGAACAAAAGACACTAATCTACCAGCATTAGATTTCCTCCTTACAAAAAAAATAATCTAAGCCCCTAACACTAAGTCCAAGCAGCTTCTAAGTCACTTTTCTTTGAATCTTCGTTGGTTCCCCTTCACTGGATAGCAAAGAAGCAATCTGAAAATCAGGGGATGAAAAGCCTGAAATAATTCTGCTTTTCACAGTACCCAGAGAAGGACTGATGAGATTTGGGAAGGAAAACGTAAACCCTTGCAGCACATTCCCAGTAAGAAATTTCACAGTACCACGTTTCAAAACAGCATTTCTGCCTTTAAACTGGCAGGTGCTGAAAAGAAGCCTGGACAAAACTCTTACACACAATGCCATGATTCACTGCTACATTACTAAAAACCATCCCAAATCCTGAAGTCAAATCCAGAAATTGTTATTTCTTGATGCAGCACAGGGAGCACGCCAGGCTGACTTCAGCCACCACAAATAAAACTGGTGGGTCAGAACCAAACCAGGCAAAAATAAAACCCTCATGAAGAGGATGACAAGAAGTTCCCACCTCGTGCCACTAAGTCGCCAGCTGTAAAACAAAGTTTTTTTCTGAGATGCTAACGGAGCAACGTGCAATAAAGGATTTCTTGGGAGAGGGGAAGAAATTAAATAAATGAGAGTTAATTTTGAGCTGGTATGCAGTGCCCACATGAAATCTCCTCTACCCTTTCCTGCAAAGCCATCAGTGGCAGCTCTCCTGATCACACACAGTTACAGCTACATTTTACAGCTTTTTTTATGACCCCCACGCCTCTTGAAAAGCGTAATCATCACCTCCTGAAGCTCTAAAAAGGATAAGTTTATACTGAAATTATCTCAGACTTGCCCCTAATGTTGGAGCTGCATGTGCAGGCACGGAGATGGTTTGGAAAGCAAACCTGCCTCATCCCTCCCCATGTTCCTATAGCAAAAACCAGAATAAAAACCCAACGCAAACTATACCTGTACATCCGCCCTATGGTAAGGGCAGCACTCTAACCCCAAACTCAGGGTTTAGAGCTATTCAAATACAAGGAACACCTGGAAATGGGTTCCCAATGCTACGCTACAGCCTTTTGCACTCTCTAAAAATGTATGTTTTTCAGCAAACATGCACGCCTCAGCCTTCCCAAAAACTGGAAGCGCACGGCGACACATGCTGCACCCGTGCTCTTGGGCTGCGTGCTCTGGGAGGGCCAGCACGATGCTTTTTTTCTGAGTTGAGCAGTCCTTAACACTCTGCTGGGATCCATCAGCAAACAGCAAAATTAACCTTCATTTCAACACTTTCGAATGCTTTTTATCAACCGTGCCACAACTGGTGGTTACTGGTTTACCTGAGCAGGAAGGCAAACAAGGATGTGCTACGGTAAACCGACGTTACACTGATGACCAGACTTACTGTATTTTAAATTCTAATTAACTAGGCAGATCAAATGTAATTACCTAGGCAGATCAAATGGACTGCAGCTAAAGAATTGTGCAGGTTACCTAGAAATTAAATGCTAGTATTACAAAGTCCTTCATCAAGAATACATGGAGTAACTAAAAGAACTCATGGATAAATTCCATGACCCAACAGGAAAATATATTACCCCCATTCTTGCTGATGATTTTTAAGAAATACTTCCCAAGCTCTGAGTTTGGAATCTCTGACCCTGGGGCTCCCAGTGCTTCACTCCAGCTCCTCACTGGATGCAGACAATAATCTTCATATAAACTCAAACTCCTTAAAGCACCCCAGCTGAGATACCCCTCGGTAACTCAGCATTTTTGTCTTGCCATTAAAATTCCTTCCAGTGTGGTGACTGGAATCGTTTGGCATGAAATATGTATGAGCTCTAGCTCCTATCTGATTTCATTAGGAAAACTCTTAAGCAGCAACCACAGCTATTTCTGTTACCTACCAAACTGCACAATGATAGTTGTGCAACGAACCCATCAGCAAAATCTGTTATCAACAGCCCCAGGGGTTGCAAGAGGGAAAAGCAAAAAAAACCCCCAACCAAATCAAACAAACAAAAAAAAACACCCCACAAAACCAATTCTGGCCTGACAGTGACCCTACTGTAATGACAGTGGGACTACAGAGCACTGTGGAACTGTATGGAGCTTAAAATAGTGAGGGAGGACCAAAACATTTACATGGACACAGAAACAGAAGCCCAGATAATATTCTCACTTTAACATGTTTTAGGTTTTTTAAAGTATTAAGTTCTTATCATCATTGTGATCAGCATGAAATCTAGGTGGTTTATAAAGTTAGAATATTAAATGTGGGGCAAAAACACTTGCCCACCTCAGTTTCCACACTCTAGGGAGAACATAATTATGCATTTAAAAAAAAAAAGTTAATATAGTTCGTAATTTCCTGAGAAAGCAAGAAAGCAGCACATTGTGTGTTTGAGTTGAGGTGTCACAAACATTAAAAATACAAATCACCCTTTCAAATTATATGCCTGTTTGGTGAATTGGCTTTTTACCATGTAAATCATCCTAATTAACACCACGATGGAAATCTGACTCGCTTTAGACACCATTAAATTGTAAATTATCCAAATTATTGACAGCATCTGTCTAGGCAACGCTCTCAAGCTGCAGCCCCAGAACAAGGGCTTTCTGACCCGAGATCCCTTACTGGATTTTGTCATTGGCTTCCCAGGCATCCAGTATCCTTTGCACTAGGCAGCACTTCTGGAACAGCTAGAAGGGAAAAAAGAAAACAGAGGTAGGAAGAGCATCTCAGAAGTTTGCCAAAGGAAGTCTGGGATGAACTGTAGTAACTTTTGTTCGTTCTTTCACTCCTACTGGACAAGAACTTAAAGTTCAGCACTTATCTTTCCCAAGAGCTCAAGTTCCTTCTTTCTCAATTTTTTTTTCCTCAGAGGATCCGGGGAAAACAGCAATCCCATAAACACCTTCAGGCTGCTCGTGGGCTTCGCGTGAGCAGCAGTGAAGAACATTTGTTGTCATTTTACAAACACAAGAAAAAGTTTCCATCATTAGGGCCACAAGGCAGAAGCTAAAAGGCAGTTAGCCAGTTGTAGCTCCTATTATTTTTTGTCCAAAGTTTATATGTATCTTCACTAAAAAAAAAATAAATAAAAATGGATGCACGAGCCCATTAAAGGAGATGGGTGGTGTGTTTATTTTGTAACTGGACGCTAAAACCAAACGTACAACAGCAAACACACTTCCATCCAGAACCAAGTTGTATCTGGACACTTCAGTAAGCTCCACGCCGGAGAGCCGCTCGTCCCACCGCGCTCGTGTTAACGCCGGTGCAACGGAATCCATCCGGCTAAAATTCCCAGGTGCCACGACCACACTTACATGAGTAACCATGATATTCTCAGCACTGCTCTCTGGAGTCTCCAAGTTCTCTGTGGTGGCCACGTTTCCATTCAGCACCTCTTCTTTGCTTTCTAGCTCGTTAGCAGTAGCTCTGCCCTCTTGCGCAGAGTGCGAGAGAATAGCTGCTATGGACAATTCCACTTGGAAATGCAAAAAGTTATTCCACGTGTATTTAAAAAATAAGTCCTGGAACAAAATGAGAAGCCAAAGAATTCACTCTAGATACACCTTCAACAATTAAATGATATTAGAAACTAATTATTTAATCAGCAATTCCACTAAACCAAGTGGGCTTATAAGCCACAGTATCCACTTAACGTGCTCCGTTCACTCAGCTATAATGTGTATTTTCCTGCCAACTGGGCACACTGGAAATACCCTCGTACACAGCTACGGCTCACAGCACAGACACACTGAAAACCAAAAAAGGTATCTAATTAATAGATATCTAATTAATTAGATACCTTTTGTATCTAATGTGGCTGAATTAATCGTAAGAAAAATATTAACTAAATAATTTCTAAGTGTAAAAGTGATGTTCTGAGTGTCCTGGCTATACTGGCCGTTTCCAGGACACGTCCCTGTTCCCTGCTAGATGACAGGATCAGCTGGCAGCATCCCGAGAGCTGACACACACAGCCCAGCCACGCTCTCCCAGCAGCCAGCCTACGCGGCACACGCACCGCCGAACTGCTGGAACAAGAAATCTGAAGCATGAGGTCCAGTTCAGAACACCGAGCAACTGGATTTGTCTGACAAAGGCCATTCTGAGGATGGGTGGTCCCACTTTCAGCAGATAAGGAAAACAGACACTGGCACACATGAGCCAGTACCTTGCGCTGAACAGGTGAAAGGGAAAGTGAAAACGTTCCCAGTTTAACGTTCTTCCCCCTCTCCCCATCCACAGTGTCACGCTCCATTACTCACAAGTAATAGATTCATGGTACTGAGTCTGCATAGTTCCTGATTGATACTGGGAGTGTTGGTGTGAAGCAGAGCAGCTATCAGACGAGATCCATGAAGACGAGCGTTCCCCAACGGCTCCTCCAAGACGCCGATGGTAGTCAGGATGGCTGTTTTCTAGCAGGGAAACAGAGAACGAGCCCCTCACAGACCCGCACGTCCTCGGGGGGTACGCACCGTGAGTCGACGGAACACAACCAGTTCACGTCACGTTCTCTGCGGGTAAACATAAACCATCCTCGAGGGGGGGGATTCTGCCCCTCTGCTCTGCTCTCCCGAGACCCCCCTGCAGTGCTGCCTTCAGCTCTGGGGGCCCCAACACAAGAAGGACATGGAGCTGCTGGAGCGGGGCCAGAGGAGGCCACGGAGATGATCTGAGGCTGGAGCACCTCTGCTATGGAGACAGGCTGAGAGAGTTGGGGCTGTTCAGCCTGGAGGAGAGAAGGCTCCGGGGAGACCTTCCAGCACCTTCCAGTGCCTGAAGGGGCTACAGGAAAGCTGGAGAGGGGCTTTGGACAAGGGTGTGGAGTGACAGGACAAGGAGCAATGGATTTGAACCGAATGAGGGGAGATTTAGATTGGATCTAAGGAAGAAATTCTTCCCTCTGAGGGTGGGGAGGCACTGGCACAGGTTGCCCAGAGAAGCTGTGGCTGCCCCATCCCTGGCAGTGTTCAAGGCCAGGTTGGATGGGGCTTTGGGCAACCTGGTGGAGTGAAGGGTGTCCCTGCCCATGGCAGGGGGGTTGGAACTGGATGATATTGAAGGTCCCTTCCAACCCAAATCATTCCATGATTCTGTGATTCTCTGGTCACACTGTTCGTGTTGGTCATTTTCTCTTGAAAAATAACTACTGATATGAAAAATAATTATAGAATTAGATGGAACTAGATGATCTTTGAGGTCCCTTCCAACCCAAACCATTCCATGATTCTATGATCTTCCCACGCAGAGGACAGTGTCGTGTGACCACTGTGAGACGTGCACTTCCCAAACTGAAGACTAAAATCAAAATACCCGCAACTAGAAGCTCCTTTCTCTTCACCCGCTCACCATCTCCACACAAGCCACCAGTCCCAACGTATCTCTACTTAAAAGACCTTTGCCTGTCCCAGCACACGGTGCTTTCGGAAAATACCCGGGAAGCCTGTGAGTGAGGAAAGGGAAATCCTGAAAGCAGGTCGGGAGCCATCTGCTCCTGAGAAGGGCTCAGGGCGTTACCTTGGGAGGGCTGAGCAGCAGCTGGTGGAAATCCTTCAGCCGTGGCTCAATGCCATGTAAGATGCTGCTATTGACAGTGTAAGACCTTTCGAATCCCTGAGTGTACGAGTCCATCAGTCCTTCCACTCTGCAAAGAAGAAAAGCACAACTGTTAAGATTCAACAAAATCTTAAAATGCTGTCTGAGAGGCTGAGAGAGTTGGGGATGTTCAGCCTGGAGAAGAGAAGGCTCTGGGGAGACTTTCCAGCACCTTCCAGTGCCTAAAGGGGCCCCAAGAAAGCTGGAGAGGGGCTTTGGACAAGGGCATGGAGTGACAGGACACGGGGCAATGGCTTTAAACTGAAAGAGGGGAGATTTAGACTGGATACAAGGAAAAAAATTTTTTACACTGAGGGTGGTGAGGTACTGGCACAGGATGACAAGAGAAGCTGTGGCTGCCCCATCCCTGGCAGTGTTCAAGGCCAGGTTGGATGGGGCTTTGGGCAACCTGGTGTAGTGGAGGGTGTCCCTGCCCATGGCAGGGGGGTTGGAACTGGATGATCTCTGAGGTCCCTTCCAACCCGAACCATTCCATGATCCTGTGATTCTCTGGTCACACTGTCCGTGTTGGTCATTTTCTCTTGAAAAATAACTACTGATATGAAAAATAATTATAATTTCCAGCTACTGAACGTGTTTACATAACTACATTATATTAATACATCATTTACAAGATGATATTCACATAACCAAAACCGAACGAGATGAGTGGGAAGAGAGAACACGCTGTCTGCAGAGCTGACGAAGACATTGCTGAAGTGCGTCCTGGTTTTTAAAACTTCCCAAAGTAAACCACATCAGCATGAGTTAACTAGAAACATTTGTTAAAAACTGTAAACCTTCCACAAGCGTTGGAGAAGATGTACAGAAATACATTAGCTGATGAAAACCTTGAGCAGGCGTGTGGCTGTGCTCATCATTGTACTTCTTTATTGGCAAGCAGTAAATCACAACAACTCTTATGAGCCCGTTTCAACAGCAGAGTCTCACACTGGAACAAAACAAACACTTTCTTCAGTAATAAAACACTTTCTTCTGTTCCTCTGGAGCGAGTCCAGAGGAGATCGTGCCTGACCAACTTGGTGGCCTTTTACGATGGGGTGACAGCATCGGTGGACAAGGGTCGACCAATGGATGTCATCTACCTGGACTTGTGCAAAGCTTTTGACACTGTCCCGCACGACATTCTTCTCTCTAAATTAGAGAGTCATGGGTTTGATGGATGGACCACTCGGTGGATAAGGAATTGGCTCAAGCTTTAAACTGGAAGAGGGGAGATTTCCATGAGATCTAAGGAAGAAATTTTTCACTCTGAGAGTGGTGAGGCACTGGCACAGGTTGCCCAGAGAAGCTGTGGCTGCCCCATCCCTGGCAGTGTTCCAGGCCAGGTTGGATGGGGCTTTGGGCAACCTGGTGTAGTGGAGGGTGTCCCTGCCCATGGCAGGGGGTTGGAACTGGATGGTCTTTAAGGTCCCTTCCAACCCAAACCATTCTATGATTCTAATGAAATGTAATTCCAGCAGGGTAGGAATGGGCTAGGCAGGAACCCTTAAGCCTCCAACCCACAAATCTTCAGAGATCCTGGGCATTAGTACCTCAACTTCCCAGTTTTCACTCCGCAGGTGACTTTTTGCCGAGCAATTTGTTTGCCCAGCGCCATCTTCTGTCCTCCTCTCCAGCACCTCTTCCCAATCGCCCGTTATCTCCTTCCCTCTTCCTTATTTTTTCCTTTTTTAAAAATGGAGATATTGTGTCTCCCTTCCTCCCCAGAACTCTTTTGCCTCTCCTCCATCTCCATACAAAGAAATAAAAGGGGGATCTCATTCCAAACCCAGAACTCGGAACACAGAGCCACACGCGCCTGCGCACGTCATCCCACGGACCACGCGTGTCGCAGCGTTTCCTCCCCGCTCTGCACACACACGTTCTGCTCCAAGGTCTCTGCTATTACAGCCAAGGCTCTGCTGCTCGTGTGCAAGAGGACCAGGAGAGCCCACAGAAGGGCCCAGTTGCTAACTGGTACAACTGCCATCACAGCTACTGCATCAAAAAAACCCAAACCATCTTCTCCTGTAATCATTTCTAGACAGCGCTTCACACCAGGCCAAAAAATTTCCTTTTTTGCCGAAGTAAAACTGGGTTGGAGTTCCTAAAATTGCTCTTGCTAGGGAAGCAAGTGCTGACTTACCCAGAGCGCCTCGTTTCCAGCAACGTTAGAAGAACTTGTGTTCCATTCACTATGCAGTTTTCGGTCTGTTCTCCATCAAACATATTCCTCAGGAGCTGCTCCACACATTCCTGCCTGTTGATGGACACACACACATCAGCAGAGTAAGAACCAGACGTATTTGGCAGTTGCTTTAATCACAAAATACCCACTCCTGAGTCTTCTGGGAAAAAAGGCTGTGATTTTTCTTCTTTTTTTTTTTTTTTCTCGAGTGAGGATACAGACCTTCCCCTCTGAAGTCTCATGCGACAAGAACGGTTCTACACCAGGTTCCTGAACTTGCTTACTCGTCACTAAGACAAGATTATAGACATCCAGACTCCAAACCAGATCGTTGTTCTCCTTCATCAACAGGATATACCTCTTAATTATAAACTGGAAGACAACCCAAGTGTTAACTCAGTCAAATTAATTTATTAAAGCCACCGTGAGGCTATTAGCTGATAGTCTAAAATTATTCATCAGAATCACAGAAGACAGACACCACCAACAGCAGAAGTTGGCCCCTATCGTTGGCCACTGGCAGAAGATGATCCACTGGAAACGGAAGCCAAAGGCAAACTGTAAATAACACGCACATTTTCAGCAGCCTCAGCTATTATCTCCCCGAAATATTGTCATCAATTCACCATCTCTTTCAGCCCCGAAGCCCAGACAAGGTGCCTGACAAACACTGCTGGATTTGGGGCCAGGCAGAGGGATCCCCAGTGAAGCGCTGAGGACTGCTGGAGTCGGAATGGATAACGACTCCGGCCCCTTCTAGCACTAAAAATTATCCTGACACTTGGGCATGGCCTCAGAGCTGACAAGTCATTAGCACAAAGGTGACAGCCCACCTCTCTCCGATCGCCACACTGAGCGACGGGCACCAGCAAACCAGGTCCAGGTGGTGCTGTCACATCTACAGTGACCCAACAGCAGCGGTGCCAGATCCCACCTCTCCATTCAGATTCTTTCCCATCCTAATTCTGCGGATGTTAATGACAGTTCTCCAAAATCCAGTACTCAGCAAGTGCCTTTCTTGGCTTGCCAAGTCACATGTCCAGCTAAAAACAGTATTACTCAAGCTCACGGTCTAAATTTTACTATTTTCTAACATTTGAAAAATCTCATTTACATTTGTATAAATAAAATATGAGATAAAAATGTAAAAATGCATGAATAATGCATGGGAGAGAATTATTTTAATAAGCAGCATCTAAAGACACTCCATCAGCACAAGCACAAGAGGCAGAGTCAGGAAAAAGAAGTAACAGTTTACCACGATTAACTGAATTCACTTTTATTGCACACAGCCAGCGGTAAAAATCCACACTTGATATTTATTCCGTAACCCTGATCATGTCCTGCTGCACTAGCTCATCATTGATCCATGATTCACAGATTGAAAAAAAAGTTATCCAAAGATCAAAAAAGGTCCCCAGTAACGCTTGGGAAAACTGGCCAAGAAAAGTAATGAGATGTGACCTTCAGCAGAAAGGTGAGTCGTGCAAAAAAAAAAATCACTTTTGTTCCAAATATTTTTTCTTCTAAACAGCGAAGTAGTGTAAGGACTTTTAGAAAGGCTTTTTGAAAGTAAACCATTCTATGATTCTAAAGTGCAAAATCAGTTTTATTTATACCATGGAAGTTCCAGGTAGAATCATAGAATGGTTAGGGCTGGAAGGGACCTTCAAAGGTCATCTAGTCCAACCCCCCTGCAAGGAACAGGGATATCTCCAACTAGATCAGGTTGCTCAGGGCCTTGTCCAACCTGGCCTTGAACGTCTCCAGGGATGGAGCATCCACCACCTCTCTGGGCAACCTGTTCCAGTGTTCTACAACTCTCATGGTAAAAAATTTTTTCCTAATATCCAACCTGAATCTACCTCCCTCTATTTTAAACCCATTACCCCTTGTCCTATCACAACAGGCCCTCCTGAAGAGACTCTCCCCATCTTTCCTGTAGGCCCCCTTGAGGTACTGGAAGACCGCTATAAGGTCACCCCGGAGCCTCCTCTTCTCCAGGCTGAACAGCCCCAACTCTTTCAGCCTGTCCTCATAGGAAAGGTGCTCCAGCCCTCTTATCATCTTCGTGGCCCTCCTCTGGACCCTCTCCAACTGGTCCATGTAGTGCTAGAACGCCAGGGCAGAGGGCGATGGGAAGAAGCTGAAGACCGTCTGAGTAAAGCATGAGTTGAACTTCAACTTGCAGCTTTGTATAATCGGGGAAACTTGGTTAAGTTCTACCACGGATGTCATGAGGGCTCTCACAACAGACCACGGGCAGCCATCTTCTGCCCCCCACACACTAGGGTTCCACATCCCTCTCCAAAACTGACAAAGTCTAAAACTGCCAAGAAAGTCTAAAATCACGGGAAAAGTCTGCAAAGTACCGCAGCACACCAACCTCCCACCAGTCCGAACCAGCACCCTCGCCAGAGGTCCTGGGCTTCCCCGGGAAAGCGACCACCGGAGGCTCATCTCCGGACTTCAAAGGGCTCGAAACTGATACGGACTCGACGAGATGTCGCAGGCTCCGCCACCAGGGACGCAATTGCCACTGAAAATCCAACGTTGGGCTGTTTGAGAAGAAAATATTCCGGCAGAGCGAGGGACCAAAGGCCAGATCCACCCTACTCCTGCAGGCGCAGCGTTCCAGGGCGACACGGCGAGCCCGCGGGAGACGCTCCGCACATCTGCGGAGACCGCAGCTCTTCGGGGCTCATGAGCACCACGATTCGTGTCCTGTTTCCACCGACACGCAGCGGCTCCTGTCCCAACAGCTCCCCCTGGACAGCTCAAACCCGGAGAAAACAACAGCCGTGCCCCCGAAATTACGGAAGCTCGGGGTCAGCACGAACGGTAACAGAGAAATATCAGGTGCTGGGTATAGATGCTGCACTATTCGTTGCAAGTCACTTCTTTCATCTCTTTTCTGTTAAAATGGCACCTTTAGGCCTAAAACAGGCTTTTTGGGTTTTAATCACGTGTTGAATCTCCAGTAAACGTTTTTAGGTTCGCAGCAAACATAGGAAGCAGTGAACATGCCAACAGGAGCAATTCAAAACTGCATTACAAAGAGCAAAGAAACACCATTGAGGGAACGGACTAGACTTGAAAAATCAGCATTTCCTGGTACACAACTCATACTTAACATTATTTGGGAAACAACTCCTAGTAAAAACACTCTTTGAAAGTGCAAGTTCCTCATCAATATATTCCCCCATAATATCACAGAAGTTAGCTCTAGATTTAAAAAAAAAAAACAAACAAACACTAACTTCAAATGAAAAAAATTCTTCCAAGTTGTCTGGACATACAAGTGGAGGTTCTGAACTGCCACCTGGGATCCCCAGCATCCTCACACCCTTTTTTCAAGAGAACATCTCCTCTCAAACGTGATTTAAAAGTAGATTTGAGAGTCGTAGAACACTGGAACAGGTTGCCCAGAGAGGTGGTGGATGCTCCATCCCTGGAGACGTTCAAGGCCAGGTTGGACGAGGCCCTGAGCAACCTGATCTAGTTGAAGATATCCCTGTTCCTTGCAGGGGGGTTGGACTAGATGACCTTTGAAGGTCCCTTCCAGCCCTAACCATTCTAGGATTCTATGATTAAAAAACCTGAACTACCACCGACGCCGCTGTAGCCGGCTGTGCACTCGTACCGTTTTATTACTAGGTTACATCTTTAGAACATCCCAACACACCCCAATGGCTTCCAAATGATGGAATTCACTAGATTCCCCTTCCCACAATTATTCTGGTGACAGACTGCCTTGAAGGAAGTCACACAAGATCATGTACAAAACATTTATGAACCAAAAGAGCTCTTCTACTTTTTCCAGCCAAACCACCAGGCTAATAAAAGACGACGACATCTCTATTTACAAATTGTCTGCAAAGTTTATCAATCAGAAGGTAGAAAACGATTAAACCAATTATGTGCCCGCGTTGTGACACGTCATCTCTAATCAAAGCATTGCACAACGTTTCTGAGACACGCCGAGAGCTCCTGACGGCCACGGGCGACAGGGCTTCCAGGGGAAAGAAGCGGCTGGCGCTATCCCCAGCGTGTTACGGGATCCACGGTACACGGAGAGAGGAGATCTGAACTTTCACTGTACAGCCACGAATAAAGGGAATAACTTCTTGAATGAGGGCTAGGGAGGCATTCTCGTAGGGTTTGACCATATTTGAGAGTAAAACCAGGGAGATGAATGACTCAGCTGGGGTAGCAGGCAGGCAGGCAGCCTTGGGTGAGATGTACCAGGCAGCATCTCAGCACCACCCGACCTCTGCGGAAGCACACGCAACGCACGAGTTAAAAAAGAACCTTCAACCGGCGTTTGACTCCGGAGCCAAAACCAGCACGCCAGAGCTCGGCGTGTACGGGGCTGGCCAGCGGCTGGCAATGCCCCGAACCAAACGAAGCCCACGGCGACACACGAGCTACTGTGCCAGAGAGCTCCTCCTGCTGCTGCGGCACCTTCTGTCCTGCGCTGGTGAGCAGCAGCTCCACAATCCACCATCTGTCCATACCGTGCGACACGTTCGCCGGTGGGGAACAGCAGCTGCTGTCTGGCCATGCGTGATGGAACCCTTGCACCCGAGGTCACCCTTGGCCCCCAGGAACACTGTCCACACGGGGATTCTTCAGATCTGTCTTTGTGGGATTTCCCTCAACCATGGCCATGGCAGCTCACCTTTCTCTGGGCTCACCACGAGCGTTTTAGCACGCCAGCGTTGCCTCGTCTCCAATTGGGCTGGGAGCCTCGGGGGTCACAAAGCCCCATGTCCTGCCCTCCCGCAGAGCCACAAACCCCAGAAATCCCAACAGAGGCACTTCAGCGATGCGACAACGTGAGAGCAATAGTAACTGGTTGGCACACATGTCAAGAGTCAGGCGGAGGCTCGACGTACTGGTAGCTCTCTGGAGACGCAAACTAAGCGACAGCAGTAACACCAGTTAGTTCAGCGACAGTGCTCTGACAAGTACTTACGATTCCAGTGCTGTGAGAAGGGGATCAGGCTCAGGCATATCCTGGAGTTGATTGCTCTGGTCTCTGCTCAATCTTATGATATCGCACAGGGTCTGGGAAGCGTTTGATTGCCTCTGCGAAGGAGGACATAGAGCAAATTCAGTGCTAACGTCTCCACTTGGCTGCCAGAGAAAACTTCACCTAGCTGGGAGTGCAAGAAGCTAAACAGATCAGAATTTTTCAGAACAAGTGCTACCAGGCTCTAGATGATTCATCTGTTAAATATAACGCTGATGCAAATTATTAGAAGCATGAACAGATTTTAAAATCAAAGAGGAGGTCTTCCTGAACTTAATTAAATGCACTTAAAGATTTCAGAAAGTGAGGATCCTTTTTTTCATCTTCCTGACCAAGTGTTAACTTGCAAATTTCAAATACAAGTATTTCATTCGTACTTCTCACTACTCAGGAGGTTTCCTGCATGAAGAAAAAGAAAGGGCTTGATAAAACCCTTTCCAATTTAATTACTGTGTATTAAAAGGCTCTAAAGTAGTATTTGGATAAATTAATCGTCCCATTCTGGCTATCAATCAAAGACTCTCTGTAGCTACTGTATGTGGAAGATCTCACGCTGTAATTTGCCGTTTATCCGTAGGGTAGCACTGCTGGAGGCACACAAATTAGCACGTTACTTCCCCTTTTCTCCCTCAGAAGGGGCAATTTTTGCTGTGATGAGATGAGGGCATCATTGTTGGCATCAACACCAAGAGAATCCAGTGCCACCCAGTTCACTTTGCCGCTGGCACCGACGGGAACCCATCCCCAAGTGTCCCCATCCCCATCCGAGCCAAAGCGGTCGGCGGGGATCAGCGCTGCCCTGGGCCCCTCCGGCGCGGCAGCAGGGACGGCAGTCAGAGCCCAACGGGAAACAACGGCGTGGGAAACGGAACCCAGACCTGCAGCTCCTGGCTCGGGGGTTTTGGGAAGATTATTGAAAAAAAGAAAGGAAAAAAAGGAAAAAAAGGAAAAAAGGAAAAAATAAAAAAGAAAAACGGAAAAAAGGAAAATGGAAAAAAGGAAAATGGAAAAAAGGAAAACGGAAAAAAGGAAAACGGAAAAAAGGAAAAAAAGAAAAAAGGAAGAAAGGAAAAAAGGAAAAAAGGAAAAAGGAAAAAGGAAAAAATAGAAAAACAGAAAAAAGGAAAACGGGAAAAAGGAAAACGGGAAAACAGGAAAAAGGGAAAACAAGAAAAAGGGAAAACAAGAAAAAGGGAAAACAGGAAAAAAGAAAGGAAAAAAGGGAAAAAGAAAAAAGGGAAAAAGAAAAAAGGGAAAAAGAAAAAAGGGAAAAAGAAAAAAGGGAAAAAGAAAAAAGGGAAAAAGAAAAAAGGGAAAAAGAAAAAAGGGAAAAAGAAAAAAGGGAAAAAGAAAAAAGGGAAAAAGAAAAAAGGGAAAAAGAAAAAAGGGAAAAAGGGAAAACGGGAAAAAAGAAAGGAAAAAGGAAAAAAGAAAGGAAAAAGGAAAAAAGAAAGGAAAAAGGAAAAAAGAAAAAGGAAAAAAGAAAAAAGGAAAACGGGAAAACAGGAAAAAAGAAAAAAAGAAAAAGAAAAAAGGAAAATGGGAAAATGGGAAAAAAAGAAAGGGAAAAAGGGAAAATGGGAAAAAGGGAAAAAGGAAAAAAAAGGAAAAAAAAAGGAAAAAAAAAGGAAAAAAAAGGAAAAAAAAGGAAAAAAAAGGAAAAAAAAAGGAAAAAAAAAGAAAAAAAGGAAAAAAAAGGAAAAAAAAGAAAAAAAAAGAAAAAAAAGGAAAAAAAAGGAAAAAAAAGGAAAAAAAAGGAAAAAAAAGGAAAAAAAAGGAAAAAAAAAGAAAAAAAGAAAAAAGGAAAAAAAGGAAGCACTCGGAATTTAACCCTTGGCAAGTCTTTTTCCCGGGCTTAGAGAACTGCATCTTGCCGATTCTGCAACTGAACACTGAGTTATGGCCTAAAAAGCACCGGGAGCTCCGGCACAGCCACCAGCGGGAGAAGTTTTCCAACAGCCTGTTCCAGCAGCAGGTCCCTCCTTGGGCCCAGGCCAGGTATCGCTGCCGGCAGATGCCGAGCGCCACTGGTGCGGCAGCACAACGAACTGGTAGTGAAGGAGCCAAAACCAGATCAAAAATACAACAAAACATTTCAGTGCTGAGCTGGGCAACCAGGGGACAGGGTGTCCACCCGTACGGATCATCTCCTTCCGTAAGTCCCCTGGGTAGGAGCGAGCAGAGATTCTTCTGGGCCTTACGGGACCCACAAAGACAAAACTGGGTCTTGCCATACTCACGTCCTCATCCTGGCTTGAATGGATCAGCTCCACGAGCCTCTGAATAATCTTTGCTTCATTAAGCCACTGGAGGGAAAGGAAGGGGGGAAAAAAAATAAATAAATCGTCGTTTGATATGACAGAATTCAAAACAAGAGGATCTTCAGGAAGCTTTGCATGCCACAGGCTTTTCAAGAAGGGGAAGCCCTTTCCTTCCCTTTCATAACCCAAAATTTGCATCAGGAGGTACACCCTGCCCGGGGAACTGAGCACTCAAATACCTTTGGAAACCACGGAACAGATCGGGCACAAACACGATCTTATCCAACACAGCGTTAGCATAATTTCCAACGCCTTCTTCTCCCACCGCTTCCCATCCCTACAGTCCTACTGCTGCTTACACTGAAGAGCTGCTCAGACTTTGAGGTGACCCAGCGATGCTGTTACTGCACCTCATCTCCTTGCTCTGTGACAACTTCAGGCCACCTCCTCTTCTCAGTGCGAGCATCGCTTGATCTCCCTTTCCTGACCACACGCAAAACCAGTAGCCCATCGATGGTACCTTCCAGTTTCTCCCTTCCCAGCTTCACCTGCGAGCTCAACTTCTCATTCCCACCCAACCATTTTCACTCAAATTTCTACGGTCTTCGTCCCAGGCAAACAGCCGGATGCCCAACATCAACGAAACTCATCGAAATAACACGTACCCAGTTGCTTTTGAAATGACTGACCCAACATTAATCAAAAGGAAAGAGACTTTGGAGGTTTCTGCAATGATACAATCTGCCATCACTCTTCAGATGAGTCATGGAGAGAATGAACCCTCTCCTGCCTTCCACTTCTTTGTAAGAAGGTTCTACGCAGATCTTCTCCCCTCGAACACTCATTTTTACGTTACCTATTCCCATGACTTCAACCGTAATCCTTATATTGACCCTACCAGCTCTGCTCTGATAACCCTCCTACAGTCCTCATCCTCTCCTCTCCAACGCCATGCTGAGGATGACGTATGTCTGACAGAATAAAAATTCCAGATCACCATTTTTTGGTGACTCTTCCCATGAACAACACTGCTGTTTTCCTACTACGTCTGAAATGTCTTGACCGTCTCCTTTCTGGTGTGCCTTCTTACTGCAAAAACACTAACGCTGCCCGAAAATCTTCCCAGCACACAGCTGTGCAACCAAATATTTCATTCAAGACCATATTTTCAGATCTAGTTTCTGTAATTTCTTCTTCCCGACCTTCAGTTTACCCAAAAGTTAAAAAAACTGAGATCTTAAGACATTTTTTCGCACCAATCTCTCTACCAACCTCTCTCTTCAGTTTCTTCCACTGGTTTCTAGTTTTCCAGCATCAAAAATAAGCTCCTGATCCTTGTTCTTGAGGCCGTCACAGTAGAGTTGATCCCTGCTGTGTCGTAATACACCAGCCTTGCCATCTCCTTTCCACTACCGAAGACACTGTCCATTCCCTCTTGGCTCATCTAGTCTACAAGCATCTTCTCTCCTCTCCCTGTGCCTGGATATGACTAGTGAAACCCTTCCTTCGAATCCTAACACTCAAGTCTTCCGACGACAGCTCAAGTAGCTGTCAATGGGCGACTTATCACAACGGCTTCATCAAGATTAGTGGAATTCTCCTCACTTGTATCTTCTAAACACCAGCTGCTCAAACCTATCCAGTTATTTCTCCTGGAAGTCTCCGTAACGACAAAATCACACGTCTCTCCTCTCCTCTCCGTCACATCGGCACGTTTCATTCCTCACCATCACTCACCCACCCCGGGTGTGCAGAGCACCACGACTCTGCGCCCACGTTTTGGCTGCAATCTCTGGGGATCCCCACGGCGTTAACACAGTGCACAGCTCCAGTTCCAAAACCCCAAACGCTTCCATCCATCTCCTCCTGGAAGTTTCCGTTTTTCAAACAGTAAGTCCCAGAGGTGCTACAGTGGGTGTTCTGGCCTGTTTCGTGCTTTGTCCAGAACCTTCCTGCCAGTCCGTGTCAGCAGAGGAATTTTTACTTATCAAAGTCCCACCTACCTTTGCAACTTCCAGAGCCCAGAAGAAAACTACTCATTAACACTTTCTTTCCCTCGCGGAGCACAGCAAGTTAAACCCCAGCCCTGCACTGCGGTTCCAGCTTTATCCTGTATCAACGCCCCCCCAGGCCCCGCGTCGCCTGAGCCATGGGCCTGATTGATTAAACTGGGAGTCAAACAGTAAGGGCCTGGACTGCCATAATAACGGGTTTTGGGGGAGCTGGATGGCCAAAGAGAGAGGTGCTGAAGAGAGGGAAGCATGAGCACTGATCTCAACGAAGGAATTAGTGCTCCTGGGAACCGAGGGACACAGAAAATGAAATTCAAAAGCAAAAAAAAAAACCCAACAGAAATAATCTGTTAAGAGCAGAAGAGCAATTCCAATCTTTGGTGAATTAAGAAGCATCTAGTAAACCTGGAAGAGATCAATTCATCTGTCTTGAGGCTCTTGTTGAAGAGATGGACTTTGACACACACAAGAAAAGGAATATTCTGTAATTATCATGGAAGGGTTTGGGTTGGAAGGGACCTCAAAGATCATCCAGTTCCAACTCCCCTGCCATGGGCAGGGACACCTTCCACTACACCAGGTTGCCCAAAGCCCCATCCAACCTGGCCTGGAACACTGCCAGGGATGGGGCAGCCACAGCTTCTCTGGGCAACCTGTGCCAGTGCCTCCCCACCCTCAGAGGGAAGAATTTCTTCCTTAGATCTCATGGAAATCTCGCCTCAAACAAAAGCTGTGACACGTGAGGACTCACCCACCTGGGCAGAAGCACAACAGTGTTACCCTCAGCATCTCCCTTTGGAGAGTCACAAACTCTTCCGACCACGCGCAACTCAGCAGCATGGTCACCCTCACTGATGAATGATGCACTTGTGAGGAATTCACAGACTGAAAACTTGCACATATGGGCAACTGGAATTACTCCACAGGAAAGGGAGGACCACGAGACGCAGGGCCAGCGAGCAGGAGGTGGCTGATGCAGCAGTTTGTTGTCTGCAAACAAACCAGGCTCCTGTTTGCCACCTCCTGATGAGGGAGCGTTGGGCTTCTGCCCAACTGCTGCTGGGGAGCACCTGCAGCACGTAGGCTCAGGCACCACGGAACAAGTGGGACATGGCAAACTGGTCCGGGCAAACCGGGACTTGGCGGTTAAGGAGGCAGTGGGCAGGGAAGGGGGTGTGGAGGTGCTGCTCGAAGGTGCATGGGACTGCAAGATCAGTGCAACCACAGCAGTGACAGGCAGGAGGGCACGGTCCTCTCCACCGGCTGGGGCCATGGGAGGCCTCAGCCCACGTGGAGCTCCTGAGATAAGGCACGGCCAACGAGGTTCAGGCAGCGGGCAGTGCTTCTCCTTGGTGGAGCAGTGGTCCTCACCCACAGCAGATGCAATCGCAACAAGGCACTGTGCTGCCAGGTGATGGGAGTTACGGGTGGAGGTGAAAAGAGAATGGAATATTATATTCTGGAAGAAAAGAATTTCAGAAGGGTTTTTTGGCAAAGACTGTGGCAATGGTCAGGGTTTTCTGGACCCTAATTTTGCGTGGAAGAAGGAACAGCCAGAGGCCACAAAGGCATCAGAGGATGGAGGCTCTCACGTCAGGAGTGGCTGGAAGCTGCCAACATGAGAAAAGCTCTTTCAGGGCTGGGAGACGCGCACGTACAGAAGAGGCAGGATGGCTCGGTGGTAACGGGTGAGGAGGAACAGGTTCCTTAAGGGAGACATCAGAGCCTGACACTCACCAACGAAAGAGGCAGCAGCAGATGAGCGTGGCTGGAGACTCCCTTCGGCAGGGGACGAAGAACCTGCTCACCGCCAGAGCGGCTGTTTCAACAAGCACACGGCCTGCAGCTGCTCAGAGCCCCCAGTGCACAGGGAGACTGCCAAGGCTCATCCAGCCCTTGGACAGCCACTCTGCTTTTTGGATAGGATTATCAAAACACACATGTCATGAAATCATGGAATGGTTTGGGTTGGAAGGGACCTCAAAGATCATCCAGCTCCAACCCCCTGCCATGGGCAGGGACGCCCTCCACTACACCAGGTTGCCCAAAGCCCCATCCAACCTGGCCTTGAACATTTCCAGGGATGGGGCAGCCACAGCTTCTCTGGGCAACCTGTGCCAGTGCCTCCCCACCCTCAGAGGGAAGAATTTCTTCCTTAGATCTCATGGAAATCTCCCCTCTTCCAGTTTAAAGCCATTGCCCCGTGTCCTGTCACTCCACGCCCTTGTCCAAAGCCCCTCTCCAGCTTTCCTGTAGCCCCTTTAGGCACTGGAAGGTGCTGGAAGGTCTCCCCGGAGCCTTCTCTTCTCCAGGCTGAACAGCCCCAACTCTCTCAGCCTGTCTCCAGAGCAGAGGTGCTCCAGCCCTCGGATCATCTCCGTGGCCTCCTCTGGACCCGCTCCAACAGCTCCATGTCCTTCTTGTGTTGGGGACCCCAAAGCTGAATGCAGCACAGCAGGGGGGTGTGTCTCATGAGAGTAGAATAGAGGGGAAGAATCCCCCAAAAAGAAGCTGGCCATGCTTCTTTTGACATAGCCCAGGAATCGGTTGACAGCAAGGATGCTCCAGCCAGGACGAATAGATTTCTCTTCAGAACAACAAGGGATCACGTGTCAGGTTCATGGAATGGTGTAACCCACTCTGCAATGCAAAGACTGAGATCCCTGTGACTCACTGTGCTCCAGCTGAGCCATAGCAGGTCCTCTCCTCCAGACCCGAATCAGGAAGACAGGCTGATTCTCCTCCATAAGTACGTTCTGTCACCAAGGCAGGCATGAGAAGATGGAAGTGCAGAAGAGAGATCCACCATAACTGCATCTGCTTCATATAAATTCCCAGCACGTGCCAGCAAAATCAGACATGGGGTGTCTTCGCAGCGGTCGTGCCTCGTCACATTTTTCTAGGTAAGATTTTATGCTAATAACGCACAGAGGACAGATTGATGCTGCTTATCTGTCCTGATCCTAAAATATCCGAGTTTTCTTGTAGCACAAGAAGTAAATTACTTAAAGTCACTATTATCTCGTTCACAAATCCACAGAGACATTTCAGGATCAAGTGACACCGATCAAAGAGAATATGCTGCCATCCATCTGCATGATGTCAGGCTTGTCCAAGGATATCAAAACGTAGGTGCCTGAAAGCCAAGCCTGCTGGAAGAACCTCCTTAGATGTTTCTGATGAAGACTCTTCTCGTATTTTCAGCTGTGAGAGTCCAGAAACAGGGAGGAGACAGGGCTGTGACGATGGAACACAGACAACAGATTGTTTCGCTGACACTGCACCTACCCATGGGCTGCTGAATCTGGAGGTTTCCTTGTCTGTCCGACTCAGGACAGAAGTACGGAGGAACAGTATGTGCTAGCAAGGTCTTCTCCTGATGGCACAGCTCTCCAAAACAACAAAATCCGAGCTACACGAACAGAGCAATCCTCTGTCATGCATGAACAGACGGAAATGGATAAAGAATGACCATATTTTCATGTTAACTGTACGTCCTCAACTACACATCAAGGAAGAGAACAGGGAAAACACCACAAACTGTAGTTCTGCAAACAGTTTAAGAACGTACAAAAGGGCACTGCCACCTTCTTTCTGCTCATACTCATCCACTTATCTTCTGCTCCTTTCTCCTCCCTTATCATTGCACAAATCCAAGCAAAAAAAAAAAAAACCCAACTGAACTGAGCTGGCTGAAAATAATTCTGGCAAAAACACAAATAAGACAGAGGTGTTTTCAGTTGGATCTGTTCCCTCATCCGTGTCACCTTACAACCCCAGGAACACTTCAGCTGGCAATGATTCCCGAGGAGCTGGATGGGCAGAACAAGCAGCGCGAAGGTGGAAGCAGGACTGCCTCTTCCTGCGGCAATGCCAACCTACAGTGCCCATGGCACGGCCGGCCCAGCTGCACTGGGAGCTGGCAGGCAAATGCCATCAAACGATTGACCAAAAGCTACTACCTGACAGGTTATTTTTTCCTGATGTGATGAAAAGCTACAGCAGTCCAGGAAATATGACTTTTATTTCTAATATTTACCAAAAACGAAGATTGCAAATGAACTTTTCTGGAGACTTCAGTTTCTGAACATATTGCCAAAATTGTTGGTAAGCAGCTTCTCTAAACATTCAACCCCAAAGTCCAATATTGCTACTACTTTCTGGTTTTCTGACAAGTCCTTAAGCCATTACATTGCTAAATGCTTGGGGACAATACTTACCTTGAGGCTTTCTGGGGTGGGGAACCAACTTCAGAAGCACCTCCAGTGCCACTTGGTATCTTCAGGTGGTTTTCTTTTTTTTTTTTTTTTTTGACTGTGTGAAAACTTTTAACAGGTGGAATTAACCTGATAGGATGGGGTTAAAATATATCCCATCCAGACCTGCCTGTTTATGGACGGTTGATATTCGAAGCCTGGATATTTGGAAGTTTCCTGGATGGAAGCCATCCATCCAGGAGAAAATACTACTCAGTTGAAATGTCATTTTAACGTCAGAAGAAAAAAATAATCGCATTTATCTTGGTAACGATATTACACCACACTATTGCAACGTCTGTCCTGCACTGGTGAGCCCCAGCCTGGACCCAGTAACTTGACAGGTCTACCCAGTGCTGAGCAGACGGGAGCAATCCTGTCCCTCCCCCCTCCGCTGCCCTCGGGCCATCATGGCCTGGGATCATAGAATCATGGAATGGTTTGGGTTGGAAAGGACCTTAAAGACCATCCAGTTCCAACCCCCCTGCCATGGGCAGGGACACCCTCCACTACACCAGGTTGCCCAAAGCCTCATCCAGCCTGGCCTTGGACACTTCCAGGGATGGGGCAGCCACAGCTTCTCTGGGCAACCTGTGCCAGCGGTTGGGCCTTTTCTGCAAAGCTGCTTCCCCTTCCAGTGAATCCCCCATCATCATTATCTCTTGCCCATCCATTTCTTGAAAGCTTTTTTTCTCCCATCTCCTCTCCTGGGATTACTATTTAACGTCCAACCAAACGAATCGCTGACCTCCCTGCCAAAAGACGAAGATTTCCTTTCAGGGGTGATCGCCCACACAAGCCTCTAAGGATTGACTTGTGCCTGTAATTTTATTTTTTCCCTTCCCTGTAACAGCGTGTGCACCGCAGGGAGCGCCAGGAGGAGCGGAGCGGTTGGCACTCACCGCTCACACCGCGGGCCTCGGCACAGAACGTTCGCCCGCTCGGCCGCGGCGCGGCCAACACTCCGGCACGGAAGACTCCGGCAGCAAAACCCCGGTGTGGGGTTCAGCGACTCAAGCACAGTTTTCCCACCGGCACACTGCTCTTTTCGTTTACTGAAAGGGAGCTAAAGTAGGGTTTTTTTTCCTCCCATCCTGCACATCTGCCCACTAAAGGGGGGATGAGGTGGCCTCACCCAGACCGGGCTACGAAGGGAGAAAAACGTGTCCTACCTGTGAAGCAAACCAATGTCTCAATGAGATGTTTTACAAAGCTGCCTACTAAAGAGGAAGGGGAAGGAGGCGGGATGAGATACCAGCTCCAGAAATCACACACACCCTCGAACACGGCAGGGAATTACACAAATTACCATCTCATAGATTTAATAGATTTCATAGATTTCTAGGTTGGAAAAGACCTTAGAGATCATCCAGTCCAACCGTCCCTAATCCCCATTAAACCATATCGCTAAGTAGCTCATCCACCCTATTCTTAAACACATCCAGGGATGGGGACTCAACCACCTCCCTGGGCAGCCTATTCCAGTGGCT